AATTAAACTGGGTATAATTAATACAAATTAATTCAGTCAGCTTCCTGGTTTATTCTTGTTGGGGGCAGGGAGGAAAAATCCACTTTTGTCCACTGAGAGCTTCTCTAGATCCAACTCAAACTCTTTTTTTGTTACAGAGTTTGAGTTGTACCAACACAAATAAACATTATACATGAATATAGATATATCTGACAAACTAAAAAAGTCACTACCACCTTTTATCGCTTCCCTTCTAAAATACAGAAACTGAATAAAGTATAAAGTTTCACAAAAGAGACGTGGAAACTATTGGGATAATCTGAGGTCCTACCAGAATTCCTGATTGCCCTCTCTTAGGTCTCCTTTCTCCAGACCTAAAGCAGGATAAAACAGTTGCTTTCAGTCTCCCTTGACTCACTCAGTTAGGTTCCTGCATTGCTAGCTCAGCTAGACTTGGGATGAAGCAGTCTCTATGGAGACAAGAGATTCCCCTTTGTGATGTCATGCTGATGCTAGGTGCCTTGGAGACATCTGTTGACACCTTCTTCTCCTGTCACTGGCCTGGAGATAAAACAGAGCCATGTAACCTCAGGTGGATTTTACATAACTGAAGAAGAAAGGCTTTGCACAAGAAGATTGAAGACCTCACTCTCACATTTAAACTGTAAATATTCTTTTTCTGTATTCCAATAAGCTTATGAGATTTTGATTATGTACATTTATGTTTATGTAAACTCTAATTTGTGACTGGAAAATGGTTAGTCTCAAAGTCGGCCAGATGTTTAGACTGGATTTGGCATTTTTATCCACCTACTGATTCCTTCCCAAGGACCTGGGATAGGCTGATGTTGTTGTTTGGTGGTGTTAAAGGTGTCATTGCAGGATATAAGCTGTTCCTAGTAAAGCTGCCTTTTGCAATTGACTGATGGCAATTTTGTCAATGCTGATGGTCTTCAAGTGGTGCTCCAGGTGTTTTGGGATTGCACCCAAGGCACCTGTTACTATTGGTAGTATCCTTGCTTTCTTTTGCCACAGTCATTCTATTTTTATTTGCAGGTCTTTGTATCTTGCGATTTTCTCCACTTCTTTCCCTTCTATTCTGCTGTCTCCAGGTATTACAATGTTTGCTATCCAGGCATTTTGTCTTTCTTGTCAACAATTGTTAAGTCTGGGGTGTTGTGTGGCAGG